TCACTGCTGGAACAACACTGTACACTCTAGCACAATAATTTCCTTACTTTTTAAATTTATTCTCTGAAAATTTCATACATGTATACAGTGTATATTTCTTTTTCCTCAGACAGAGTCTCATTATTTAGTCCTGGCTGGTCTGGATCTCCCAGATATCCACCTGTGTCTGCCTTTCAAATGCTAGGACCAAAGGTATGAGCCACCAGGGTTTTTAATGCAGTCTATATACCTACTTATGTCTGACTGTTGTCTACATTCTTCCTTTCTTTCTTTCAAATTTATGGCCTCTTTTTTCATTAAGTGCTGTTGCACACACACACACACACACACACACACACACACACACACACACACACACATATACATACATAGCCCTAAACACATAGATACAACCTGCTCAGTCTATATAAATGTTACTTGCATATATGTTTCCAGGGATGACCATTTGTTATGAGATAACTAGTTGAGATACTCTTCCCTAAGGAAGACCTCTCTCTCTCTCTCTCTCTCTCTCTCTCTCTCTCTCAGAATTCCTTAATTCCCTATAGTTCTTTGCACAGGGTTGAGGACTTTCCCATCCACTTTGGTGTATCTGTTGTCCTTGTTCAGCTCATGTTGGTGCAATTTTATGGGTGTAGTTTCTGACACTCCTGGGAGACACAATCTGATAGCAAACTCCCCGATCCTCTGGTTCTTACAACTGTTACGTTCACAATGACTCCTGAGCTTTAGGTGTAGGAGTTGTATTGTAGATGTATCCATTGGGGCAGGGCTCCATAACTCTGCATTTTGGTTGGTTGTGCTTTTCTATATTGGTCTCCACTTGCCACAAAGAGATGTTTCCTTGATGAGGGATGAGGATCACACTTACCTGTGGGTATAAGGACAATTATTTAGAACGTGGTTAGATTGATGCTGGTTTAGTAGAGTGGCATTTGTAAGTTCTCCTCCAAGACTGATGACTTCACAGCCCCAGGTGGTTGGCTAGGTTTCCAGTGCCCTGCATGATTTCCCTCTTGTTGAGCAGGTTTTAAGTCCAATTGAAGAGCTATTGGTAACCACCAAGGTACACATTTCGCGACCATGCTGGTTGTGGTTCATAGGCATCAGATCTGGGAAGAACTGTTGGTTGCTTCCCCCTTCTGGAAGCTTGAGTGGCACCTTCTGGTACAATGAAAGCTAGTCCTCAGGGAGAAGGCTTTCAGGTCAGTTCCAGCTCAGGGGCCTCTGGGCCCTGTGTCTGAAGTGCAGGATGTCTTCGGCAATAGGGACTTAACAATGTATCTTGATCATATCTGCCCCTCATTACCCCCTTCCAACTCCCCCCAGGAATCTGTATCATGTCTTTCTCTCTCTCAGCTTCATGTCCTTTTATATATATATAATGTTTTACTTATTTATTTTAACCTACTAAGTCCAGTTCTTGCCGCTTATATCCCACAGGCGTGGTATCATCCACTGGGGCTTGGAAAGCCTACTGGTAGCCACATGCCTAAAGAAAAGTGACTCTCCCTCCTCCAGCAGCCATCAACTGTCTATAGTTCTTCAGATAGGGGTGGGGTCTCAGGAGTGCAAGTTTTAAGTCCTCTGAACTTTAGGAGGCAATAGTGATATGTGGATTCTGCTCTGAGGAGAGAGAATACTGGTGTTTCGAAAGAAGCACCTGAAGGGAGTCCAAGAAGCCAGCACCTGGTCCTTACACAGTCCAGCGTGCCTGAGGTTAGCGGGGGATGGGGCTTGAGAACTGTGGGGGCAGCATGGCCAGTGCCGTAGAGAAGTCAGCAGTTTGAGGCAGGAAGGACAAATGTTTACTGGAGTATGGCTGTGGCACTGGGGTGGAGTTACTACCCTTTGCTCATGAGCAGGGAACTGAGGTTATGTGGCTTCAGTTCTATGCAGGAGCAGGTAGTTAGTGAGTGAATTCCAGAAGGCAATGAGGGGCGGCAGGGAGGTGCCGGCCTGTATTCAAATCCCACAGGCTGTCTGTGGGATCTTGGGTTATAGCTTTAACCTCTCCCAGCCTCCCTCCTCCTTTTTAGACCAAGGAAAACCACACTGAGAAATGCTAAGCATTAGGTGGCACCATGGGTAAACAGGCTCACTAGAATCTCTGGTGTAAAGAGTAGGAGCTTAATCAATGTTAGATCTCTCTTTTCTTCCCCCCAAATCACACACCTCTGGAGGTGTGAGGGGTGGGCTCATCACAGCCGGTGACAGAAGGGACTGATGACCCCCCGACTCTAATGGAACCATGGAATGGTCCTGATATAGAGATGGGAGCAATAAATAAGGCTGGGAGGGTGTCACACAGCTACATCGGTCATGGTATCCCCATCAGTGTCACAGAAAAACTTGGGGACAATGCTGAGGACGGTTCTGGGAAACATTTCCTGAAGAATTCTATCTTAGGGTTTTTCTTGCTGTGAAGAGACACCATGACCATGACAACTCATAAATGAAAACCTTTAACTGGGGTGGCTCACTTACAGTTTCAGAGGTTCAGTCCATTATTGTCATGAAGGGGAGCATGGCAGCATGCAGCAGACATGGTGCTGGAGAAGTAGCCGAGAGTCCTGCATCTTGCAGGCAACAGGAAACAGACAGAGACACTGGGTGGTATCCTGAGCATAGGAAACCTCAAAACTCACCCCCACAGTGACACCCTTCCTCCAACAAGGCCATACCCACTCCAACAAAGCCACACCTCCTAATAGTCCCAATCCCTGTGAGATTATGGGGGTCAAATTACATTCAAACTACCACAAATTCTGTCCACTCTGTGGAGTTGTTGGGGGTGGCCCAAAACAGCTTGACCACACAACTGCCATGACAGGCTTAGAGGCCCAGACACAGCTTCTTTAACAGGCTTACTGGCAGGTAACAGCCACATCCAGAAAAAGCCATGAGTTGACCCCACTCAGGGAGGGCCTGCATCTAAGGGGAAATACCTGTCATTCCAAATATTCCTTTTACCCCTAGACAAATGTCAGCCAATCAGGGTCCTGAACCCTGGAAATCCCCTCACACCAACCTCTGCTATGATAAGAAACAAAAACAAAACAAAACAAAAAACCACTCTGCCTGGGCGTGGGGCTCTCTGCTCTACTCACTGTGTCAGACAGAGAGTCCAAGCTCCAAGCTTCAAATAAAGCTTGAAAATAAAGGCTCTTTGCTTTTACATATGGGATTCGGTTTCCACGGTGGTCTTCATGCAAACTCATCCTTTAATACCTGGGAATTTTTCAATTGGCTGAGATCTTTCAAAGACAAATATCTGGGCCAGTACTGAAAGCCTCTTAGATTTCGTTTTTTTCAGTTGTTAGTCTAGCTCTAGAACAAAGGCTTATAAATATCCATGATTGGGGAGAAAATTTCAGATCTTTCTTGAAAGAAGGAACTAGTGGAGGACTCCCTGAAATCAGCAGCTAAGGCAAAACACAAAACCCCAAGTCACCAAACCAAAACAATAACAAAATGCACATATAATCAAGACTGTCCTTGAAAAGCATTTAAATCCTACTTAGGCCCAGAGGCCAACAGTTAGCCAGAGAAGGGAAAGCAGGGTGTTAGGACATTGGAACACCTTTTTGTTATTCCCCTGTTATTCACCACAGCCAGAAGGTGAGTATAGTCCAAGTATGCACTGACAGAGGAGTGGATAAGCAAAATGTGGACTACATTACAACAGAGTATTTAGCTTTAGAAAAGAAATAAATTGTGGCGCGGGCTGCAGAATGTTAAGTGAAATCAGCCAGACAGAGGGGGCAAATCCTGTGGTCAATTGACAGAGGCAGAAATGGTTCTCAGGGGCTCTGAGTGGAAAATGGGGAACTGCTGTTTAATGGGTGTAGTTTCAGCATTGCTGAAATTTCACAGATGGGGAAATTCTGGCAACTGCTTGCTCAGTGTAAATGTATGTACCACTATCGAACTGTGCAGTTACAATGGTGCTACTTCCTATGTAATGTTTGTCTCACGCAATGGAAAAAGCCAACAACTAACTTTCTGTGTACATCCCTGTACATGTGTAAATTTCGCCTACAGGCAAATCTGATTCATTTATCCCTGGTCTCCTGTCCCTTCCTATTCAAACCAGGCCTTTGTCCCTATGGTCTCCAGAAAAGGGCTTCATTAATTATTATTATTATTGGTTTTGCTTTGGGCTTACCATTGATTTTAATTCATATACGGGTAGAGATCTGCTATATCTCTCCTTCGTTTCTTACTCAGCATATTTTATAGTTGAGCTAATGAACCTGCTGTTGACAAGTAGGGAGAATGGCCTGACGCCTAAGCTTCACACTGGATTTAGTTGTCACAGAAAACGCCTAATGTGCGGACTGCTGAATTTCCTTAGAACAACCAGAGTATTTCTACTTTCAAAGTATCAGTTCACAAAGACTGAGACTCTCTGAGGTTTGGGGATGAGTTTGCAGGCTTCAGAAAGAAGGAGCTTTGGTCCAGGCAGCAGCGATGAAATAAATCAGGAGGAGGGGGTGGGGGCGGAGCAGAGCACACTGCTCAGTCTTGGAAGACTACAGCCTCAATTCTATAATTTTGAGTTCACAAATAATATCATCTTGATGCAAAAATGATTCCTCCTTGCCTCTAAAAAGACTACTAGGCAACAAATGGTTAGTTCCATCCACATTATCTGCAGTTGGAAAAAAAATGTAGTTTCACACAGTGTGTGTGTGTGTGTGTGTGTGTGTGTGTGTGTGTGTGTGTGTGTGTGTGTGTGTGTGGTGTGTGTCCTAGGTGCACCAGCATGCCTTGCCCCCAGGAAAGAGTCAATAAATGGTTATTGAATTTAGAGCATCCTTCTTCCCAATCGCTGAGGTTTAATCTATTCCCAATTCAGAATATCTATTAACTTTGCAGCATCACTCAGCCTTTAAAAAAATCCATTTGTGGATGCGTTTAAAGACTTCACAGTAAATATTACTATACCGATTAAGAGAAAGCTGTTAAAGGAAGCATGCCCATTCAACACACCGGTAGCCATTGGTAAAATGTAATTTAATTTAATTATTTAAATTTACATTGTTAATGTACAAGAGCATTTCCTTCAAACCACAGGTTAACACACACTAAAAAGCAATGCTGTTAGAGGAGAAGGGCTTGGGAAACTCAGCCATCTGAAACAAAAGCAAGGCACTCTCCAATAACAGCGGGTAGATTCTGGGTTTCCAGCTGAGGGTGGCTTTGCACTGAGAGAGCACTCCCTCCAGGGGAGGAATCACCTGCATTAATGCTTGTCCTCCTCAGAGCTAGTGTGCCATCCACTCTGCGTACACTCGTGTGTCAACATTCAAAAATAAAAAATTGAACGGCTTGATGACTTGAGAAGCTCTCATAGTTGTGATAACTATGGAAGACAGAAGAGCACTGGCTGTTTAGGTCTTTTCTTTTAGCACTAGTGTCTGGCCCTGGAACTAAAACAGTGCCATTATTTCTTCAAACCAGCAGATACGCCGCCTAGACGGTCCTTTCCCTTCAATCAGATGGGCTGACCAAAAGGAACAGCATTTCCCTAGAGCACTGTGCTGCTGTTCTGCTTCTCAGACAGGACCAAAACAAGGATTAACTTTCGAATATTCAAGGTGCACAAGAAGGTTATGTACGCTCAGTACTTCTAATTTATTCAAATTCGATTTGAATTTGGTCTGAAGCGATCTGGTGTGAAATGTTAGCTTTCCTGATATTTAATAATGTTTATTATGTTTGCAAATAAGCTCAACAAATTAATGCCAAAGTACTACTTTATTCAAGGCTGTCTGCAGGTAAAATGTTAATACGAGTGACTCTGTTTAAAAGTCTATTTTCCTAGAGATGCAGCGAGTTGTAGGGAAGGACCGAGCAAAGGTGAATTAAGTCCTAGTCTCAATTCTGCTGTAGCAGTCTGCCCTGCGATGGGCCCCACTTTTCTCTGTTGTGAATTTCAGGAGATCTGACCAGATGATGAGCCAGGCCCCTTCCAAGTCTGAAGTTCAAAATCCTAACATTCCAGGCCCTGTCATCTTGAAAGAAAAGTAATATCTTTCATAAAATCTCACACAAACAAAATACACGGTCAAATATCCGAATGATTTGGAAAAAAAAAAAAAAGAGGAAAGGATATGATTTGTTATCTGGGTTACACTTTGCAGCAATTAGGCAATTCATTTGGTATTTGTTTGATTGTATAATTTAATGACGATATAAACAGCATAGTTTTGTTAATTTTTTTAAAAGACTAAAGCAAAAATGATTTAAAGCTAACAAAAGCTACTGTGACATCAGTTTGACATTCAAAGTTTGATTCTTAGCAAAACGGCCAAAGGTATCTTGACTTGATACAGAGTATATAATATAAAGACTTTTAGACCTAAAAATCTTCAAACATTATTTGAATTTAGCAAAACATAAGCAAAATTTTCATATCAAAGTGCTAAACAGTGCTGCCTTAAAGGTCACTGCAAATGAAGGGTAAAATAATGGCGTGGGAAGTGACATTTATTGTACAAATGGTTAATAAAAAGACACATTATAAATATATATGTAACCTGCTATGTTTATAGATATATATATGCTTATTTAATTTCTAATTGGTGTATCCAAGTCACCACGAACACCTCATTTGATTATTCTGTAACTCAGCCTCCAGGAGCTGGTGGTCTTGCAATAAATACAGGCAAAGCTATTACAATATAACGTGCATACAAATGTTCATACAAATAAGGACACTATGCAACAAATTATTTCGTAACAATATGGCATCAACAGTAGAAACATATAAAAGGGGCGCAAACACGGAATGTTGAACCGCAACCCACTAATCTTTTCTAGTACTCACGTTAATACTATGGTTTTTTTTTTTTTTTTTTTAAAAAAAGATGATTTGCTTGCTTTCCAAAATTGTCTCTTTAACCAATAACAAAAATTAAATTTTATATATATATATATATAAATCCTTTTCACCTCTGGTGCTTACCCTGTATGACCCAGTTCCTACTTATTTGCATGTTCTCCTTGAGGGGAAGCAAATACTTGACTGATTCTCCCAACACTTCTTGGGCTTCTGAATGGATGAACCAGACGTTGCTACGACCTTAGTAGGTTTAGAGAACTCTGTCCAGGTTGATAGGATACAATGAATGCAGTCGTATGCAATCCATTTTATAACCTGATCCCCTTTAGGACAGCTGGATAGTCATCAGGGGTCAGATTCCATCAAGAATGGCCTGAAAGTCTTAGATGGGCCACACCTCTGAAGGGTTCTACAGGGCAGGTGGATCAAGCCTTTGCTAGGAAAATGAGCGTGCCATTTGCTAACATGACTGCCTCCTTATTTTCATATGAAATAAGGGAGAGTTCACAAACAAGACTTAGTAAGACAGCACTTGAAAAATTGCACTTGTATATGGAAGCAAACAGCCATTATCATTTTGCTAAGTCTGATTTGTAGATAAATTTCCGTCTTTTGCCATTTGTTTTTGTTTTTTTTTAAAATAATAAAGAAATGAAGGAAAGGGAATTTTCTGCCTTGCTTGCATGACGTATGTACCCTTGATACAGGAAGTATATCGTAAAGGGATCAGTCTTAAGACACAGTCTACCCTGGTGAACAGCCCTTGGCTGTTCTTGTTTTTAAACACAAAGCAACCATAACTGTATTCCCCAGAAAGAGTTTTTAAACAGTTATATTATCCTTTCCCCCTCTGCTGGGATAGCATCATCCAAAAGTGCTTCGTCAGCAATTTCTTAGAAAAGCCTCATCAACTCTACCCCCCCTCCCACCCCACCCACCAAAGCCTAAATAGAAAACACAACCCCAACACAATACTCTGCAAGGTTTCTGGCTTTTGATCGTAAGGAAAGGTGCCAGGAAAAAAACAAAAAAAACAAAAAAGAAAAAGTCTTTGCCTTCTATGGGAGCTGCTTTTCCCCTGAAGGAAGGACGGAGGGGCGGGTGTTCAGAACCATCCTTTTGCTAGCTTAATGATCAGATGCCAGCAGAGCAAGGGGTTCCCTGCTCAGAAAGGCAGGGTGTCCAGGAAGAGCTTGTCGATGATAGAAGGTGGGGCCACCAAGTCCTCCAGCTTCAGGTAGAAGATGCGCTGCAGGCCCTGGGTGCAGATCTTCCTCAGTTCCACCAGTGCACGAAGGACCTTGGGCTCGGTGGGCTCGAGGGCCTGCCCCTTCCTCTGGTGGTCCTTTAAGCTGCTTGTGATCTTGTTGCATAGCTCCTCCACTCTCTTTGGTTCTTTTAACCCATGTCGCTCTGCAGAAGGACAGAGGAGGGTAAGTTTGGGGGCGCAGGTCAAAAGGCACTAGAAGTCCTATTCAAGCTCTTTCTCCTTTTCTGCCAGATGGGTTGGGCATTTTACAACTAGAGTGCCCTTTGTGGACTGGGTGTTAGCTCAGCTAGTGGCTCTGTCAGGACCTGCTTTCGATTCCCTAGAACTGCCAGGTGTGGTGGCACACGCGTATCACCCCAGCACTGGGGAGGCAGAAATGGGCAGATCCCTGAGGCTTGCTGCCCAGCCAGCCTTGCCTACTTGGCTTGGTTAGGCAGGTGCAAACCTCCCACTAAACACATCGCCCCTGTGCTTCAAGCTCAGAGGAAACACTGAAAGTGAGCTTTGAGGAGTCCTGCTTGCAGTGGGGTTGGGCAGAAAGGTTTAGTTGTTCTCCCCAAAGCACAGAACCAGGTCGCAAATTTGGCAGGAAGACTCAAGAGGTATAAAATGTTCCCAGCCTCTGACCAAGCTACCCTATTCTTGGGAATTTATCCAAAGAAGAAAGCCAACTGAAAACAACAGCCTTGTATGTATGGAAATATTTGGGGCAGCATTTATCTATTTCTCACTCCACACCCAAGAACCCAAATGAAGGAAACTCTGGGAGAGATACAGAGTTGGAGAAGAGGGGAACTGTTGAGTAAATAATGCCATGGCCATAAGATCCTAAAACAATCAGGGATAAGTCTGAAGATTATTAAACAAGATGGAAAAATATAAGTAACATTAAATGAAGAAGAGAATATGGAAGAGTACCAAGACTGTGATCGCATCTATGTAAACATAAAACTAAAAATCTGGGGTTGAGGAGACTGGCTGAGCAGGCGAGGGCATTTGGTGCCAACCCTGATGATCTGAGGTTAGTCTAGGGTCTCCACACGGTAGGAGAGAAATGACTCCTCCATGTTGTCTTCTTGACCTCCACAAATGCACTGTGGAATGTACATGCATTCACACACACACAAAATACATATGTGTAAAATTTTTTTCATCAAAGGATGAAAAGAAACAAAGTGTGAAAATAGTCATGAGAAAACTGGATGGCTCTTTTACCTTTCTTTTAAATTTCTAGGGTAGTGCTATTTGGAGAATACTGTTAAATAGAACAAGGTAGGAGATAGTCCTTCATGAAGCCCTGTCATATGTATAACACGGTCAAGCACTAACTTGCTGATATTAAATTCTATTAGCACCGAGACACATTAAATCTGATTTACAAGCCCAGGAGAGGAGGCATCTCTCACAATCAAATGCCGGTCCATTAACAGAGGCTTTCCTATCCTTCCAGGGCCTCCTGTCTCACAGAGCATCCAAGATCCCACACTCATTATCAGGATGAAGAAACTGAGCAATTTGTCGGGTGTGATGCGGGAGGGGGGCCGATTGATTGTGGGACCTTAGAGCCAGACTTTCTCATGGCCAAACTCACAGACAGGAGCATGGAGTTTTCTCTGCTCTCCAGCCAGTCGCCTTGCTCAATAACTATGGCAACCATTATTTATTCAGCGAATTGAAGTGGAGATCGATACCTCCTGCCAGCTGGATCAACCAGGCCTGGAATTCCTTGAGGAATTCATAGACACTCCTGTTAGGAGCCAAAGGCACCTCACTCCTTCTTTGTTACTGTGGCCACTCACAAGGTCTGGGGCTTCTTTAGTTTTCCATAGGAGCGAAGATAAAAATTCAGTCTCTGTGTATACTCCTGCCAGCAAGGTTTTCAGATCACCAGGGAGTCACCAAGTGTCTGGAACCTTCTCAGCAGTTTAAAATTTCTTAAAATTCTGATCACTGACATTTAGTTGAAGGAACACCCTCCCCCTCCTCCTTTGAAAATTGGCAAACAGCTACAGAGCTGAAATGCAGAGTTCATAAATACAGAGAGAGAGGGGGAGTCAGATATTTGGGTTTCTCCTTTCCTAGAGAATTATGTATAGAAGATTAAGCTTTTTCTGGGCAGAAGGGATGCAGCTCAGTGGTAGAGTACTCACCTAGCGTGTGTGATGCACTGGGTTGGATCCTCAGCAAGGAACCCGCGCCCCCCACTCCCAGCACCATGATTTGACTGACCCAACAAGCTTTTTGCATTGGATTTATACAATATTCATCCTGCCTTTCAGTATTTTAACTCAAGCATTATGTTTCCAAGACGTCAAAACAGAATTTATAGTCACAATTAAGTATTAGACATGCGTCACAAACATTGTGTATGTACGTTGGAAGGGATTTGATCCTCTTTCTTTAAATTCCCACCTAAGAGAAGACTGTCCACTCCAAGGTACTACAAAACCAGAATCAGGTTCCAGCTAGATGGGCAGGTCAGTCATTTCAACCTGCTGATAAAACTCATCTAATAGCCCTTAGTTTATATCCTTTTACTTAGACTATTTTAGCTCAGAAAGAGACAAGATGATCTGTTATCTTTAATTAATATGTAAGAAGACTCAAAAAGTTAAGTGAATTGCCTAGGGTTGAAATTCACAAGTGGCCAGCTTCTTTCAAACCAAATCTGGGAGAACTTCGCTCACGGGCGGCTGTATCTGCCTTTCACTGCCTCTAATGGTCAGAAAGTTTCTCCGCATTCTCATATAAACCGGCCCTCCTTTAGTATCCTCTTGCTTTCTGTGAATCTAATTAACTAGTGGCTAATTACTTCTTTCAATAGATGTTTATTAAGTACCGGGTCCGTGGCAAACAGTGCTATAGACAGTAGGGAAGAGCAGTGACGGAAACAGCCCACTCCACCGGGTGGGGCAGTTCCCATCTAAAGACAAGTTTGGATTCCCGTGCCTGTTAGCTATCCCTGTCACAAACGGCTCTACCGGGCAGGAGGAAGACAGGATGGAGTTGGAGGGAAAGAGGAGGTCGGAGGAGAGGAAGAAGGAAGAGAGGAGGTGAAGAGAAGAGGGGAGAGAGGGGGCGGGAGGGATTGATTGAGTGAAATAAGGAGACACTTAAGTCTACGCTCATGTTCTTCCCCCCTCAGCTAGTTAAGATCCACTCATCTCAGATCCAATATTCCCTCAAGGAAGCTTCCTTCTTGGCTCCTAGTCTAGGTCAGATTCTCTTTATAATACAGGACATGCAAGTTTGAAATCCGATATTCATGTGACAGTTGCCTGCCTCCCTCATTAGATTTAAGCTCCCTGGAGAAACGCCCTGTATTTGCTCACTGTGGTCCCCTCTCCTGCACCAATCCTAACACATCAGAGACACCTAATATGTGTCTGATAGATGAATCTGTAAGACGGAAGAACAAAGCTGTTTAAGAAATGATTAAATAGACACTAAATGTGGAAGTGTCTCAGATTGAAAGGATGAGTTGGGAGTTGTTAAGACACTCACAACAGTAAAGAACTTTATAAACGCTCACACTTCCCACGCAGACACTCCCTCTCTGCACCTCTCAGCTCTGGCAGCTACTAGCTGGGTGACTTTGGGGCTGTTTCCACCAGCTCTGGCAGCCATTAGCTGAGCGACTGGGTCTGTTTCCATCAGTTCTGTGAGCTATTATCTGGGCGATTTGGGTCTCTTTCCACGCTTCTGAAAGGGGGCTAAAGTGGCAGTTGCCTCTTGTCTTGCTGTGAGAATGAAATGATCTTTACATGCAGAGTACTTGGAATAATGCCAGGCATATAGTAGGCGCTTAATAAATACTTGCATTGTACTTAAAACTCAATTTGTTACCATCCATGATGCCCATGGCTCTGAGTTCATTTGTGTGGAAATCTTCCTCCAAACTCTTCTGGGGATCCCTTCTCGGGGAGTGGGGGGGAGCTATTAATTTAACCTATCCCAGTAACTTCAGTTACTCTCTGGGTGGTGTTCCTTACGTCTGTGTTCTTCTCTCAATTCCCACTTCCTCTGGAGAAGATCTCCACTATCTGCTGCCTATGTTGTTTGAATTGCTTTTGACTGGCTTCCTTGTTGTTATCCATCCCAGGTACTTCCAGATTTATTAAACAACATCAGGACCACACATGTAAAATTCTTGGCACACTGGCTAAAAAATATTAGCTATTATTAATATCAAAGAATCCCAGTTACCAATAGGTTCCCTTGCTCCTCAAAGAATGGCTGCCATCCCAGCAGCAGCAACACAACCTTGGAGCTTGGGAGAAATACAGAACCCGGGGCCCTGCCCGAGGCCCACACATCCAAAACACACAACACTATGTCCAGTGCTCTGTATGCCGGGCGGAGAAGCACAACCCTAGTCAATCCTTGTCCCTCAGAGCTGCTGGGCAGCATCTCTACCCTGTGTTCACCTAGTCTCTATAAACTTCACTTCCCAAGGCAGCTTATTTTAATTTCACACGCTTCTGCCTATGAGAACTCTCTCCCAAGGGAGTTTATTCCAATTTCAAACAGTTTTGTCTTAGCTTCTTATATTGGGCTAACTTTTGCTGTTTTACAGTTCTCACTGCAGCCTCTTGGCTGATCAAAGGAGCACCAGGTTCTCTTCCTTGGAGCAGAGAGCAGTGGATGGAGAAAGGGATAGACAGTGTTTAGCAGTAGCCCATCCCTCCAGCCAGCTTTTTGAGCAGGTCTTGGGGCACTGGCCAACTTAGAGATAGCACAGTTCCAGCCAACGCGAAAGAGAAATGGGACTGTTTGTGAAACAGCGAACGGGACTTCCTGCTCTAAGCCTCACCTCTTTCTCTAGGAAGTCCTGCTGCCGCCGCCGCCAGCCTTTGGCTATGTCACATGTCCTTCACTGACTGGTGGGTAGTCCCAGAACCCACACTGGTCAGGAAGCCACAAGTCAGCTTGAGGTGTACAAGCGCTTTCCTGTCTTTGAGTGGGTGTCTGTCTCTCCAAGACCACGACTCTTTAAGGGTAAGGGACTATGCACCTGGCATGTGGCAGGTGTACCACAGACATCAACTGAATCCATCTAAATCGAAATTAGGCAGCTCTTGGGAAGTCAGACTATTTTCTAACAACAATGGTAGGCTAAAAATAATTTAGGTTTTCCTAATTT